GTTTTCTATAAAATACATTTAATTTTAATTGAACTTTGAAAATGCATAGAAAAACATGCTATTGAGTGTGGCTTTTGCCGTCAAGCGAATCAAAGTGTGTGCAGAAAACAAAATCCTGGCAAATTCGGAATAATGCGGTATTTTGTCGCACAGTTATCATTATTACAGTCTCATCTAAGTAATATTTCCTACGCGGAAAGTTGTTTCAGAATTTCAGTTAGCATTTTTGAGATCAGATACCGACCGTACCTATTCTTCTGACTCATTTTCGCCGAATATACATGTCGAGCTGTGTAATTCCGTACTTTTCCCCACTTTTTCAAAATGCGCTCAGCTGCGTTCTGATATCTCTGGGAGATCTAAACGACGATGCATTCAAAACTTTAAATTACCGCTTATGACCACGTCATCCACCCACTCAACTGTCTAGAGTACTAAATGCCGTCAACGTAGGTTTTAGTGATTAAAAGATTACCAGTCAGTATGGACGCATGGTTCAAACTGCGCATTACTGTGTATTACTAGCTGGACATTCACCTTGCGAATAAAAAAGGTCTTCCGAATTTATAAATGTGAGTTTATCATTTGAGGTAGTGAGAGAGTCATGGAAGCATCAGCTGGTAAAAATACGCCTATTTCGAAGACCAAAAATGTTGCAATTTTCTCCGTTAATTGCAAAATAATGTCGCTTAAAGCTCTGTTCGTCCTGAATTTCCTGCTTTATTCCTGGATTCTCTGTTGGCAACTGTTTCACCGGAAACCTGCAAGTGGCTGCGTGCTTCGCTGAAGGACTTGCATGCGACAACTGGTGTTGCAATAACCTCGTCGTTGACAGCACCGATAGGTGGATGAACCAGCGCAAAGATAACCGATTCCTGGCTTTATAACTTTCTCAAACAATTCACTATGCATTTAAAGACAATTTGGCCTCTACCAACATTGAAAAAAAACAGACTCCAGAGGCCCTATAACTACAGTTTATTTCCGCATCTCTGGGAAGCACGAAACCTGGTGTATAATTCTATCGTCTACAGAGGAGCTATGCGGTTTTTTCCGGTGCCAAAACACTTTCTAGTATTCACGCTACCTAGGTTTTAATATAAGTGTCTTTACTCGGGATCCCATGCCTCTGATTTCACATTTAACTTAGCCAGGCTGGTGTTGTTTTGCGGGTGTTCGACTGACCTCTAAGAAGCAATAAAAAAGTCGTTTGGTGAACTTCTTGCCTGAAGCGCTCGGCGGCGATTCATACATGAAAGTCATAAAATTAGAGAAGCCGACCTCGGCGGACCCCACTTTATGGTCCAGACAACATGCCTTATTCACATATAAAACTGTCTGGAGACGCCTCCGGGAGGCCTCTGCGTCCTCATATGTTGGAGATCGAGCCTCGTCGTCGTTAGCAACCAGCGAAAAGAAAAGCTGGCTAGACTCCTCAAGCAAATCATGGTAGACGGAAAAATGGTCACTCTTATTGTTGAATACTTGCTAGAAGAGGTAGCACTGAGGACTAATTCAGGATTTTTTTGTGGCAAAGTGTGTAAACCATATTTCTGAAGGCTCCGTCCTAAACCAAGACGCCAAACTTTTTTTCTTCCAAAGATAAGAGTTTAAGCAAGTGTGTCTAACCGAATTGCCACGCCATGCGTCATTAAATAAACCCCAATTTATCTTTTGTTCAGTAGCCTGCATGTTGTTAAAAAAAACTTCTGCTTGCTGTCATTAGGTTTCAGTAGAGCCGGGAGTCTCAATGAGAAAGGATAAGACCGAAGAAACTGACATACGTCTCTCTTATAATTTTACTTGCTTTCTCGGTTCATAAGAAGAGGAGTGTGCGATCTCTGTAACCAGAACTTTCTTTGGCTGACATGTTGGATTCTCAATCGAAGCCAACAATGGAGACTGGCAGAATGATGAGTGGGATTGAGAACTCAAACCATCGGGCCAATTAACTTCTTGTGCCTGAGGTCGCATTTCTTCTTTTGAACTGCTGCCTGAACTCCTATCGGCAGTTTGCTCTGTATAGTTAGTACTCGCCATCTAGAGTTCACCAACCGCGAGCACTAAGCAGTTAGCGAGTGAACTTTGAAGTATTTTGCTCAGATTCCCTCTGCAATGGGGTCCAAACGTGACGCGTTCCATTTCTGCGACGCTATTTCAACTGCGTGCATTGCTATCGAACGGAATTATCATTAACTGGTGAAAAGATAACTGGCCAAGGCGACAAGCAATTTTCGGGAAAGAGGAGCAGAGGTGGCCTTTATGGCTACTCGGGCTGTACATGCAGACAGGAAGGGCCCGTCGTGGATGTCCTTATGCTAAATTCCAGGATAATTCGATTTATGGCTAAAGTTAGTATTCTGTTTAGGGTTACTACTAAAGTTAGGGTTACGAATAGGTTTTGGATTCGGAATAGTGATAGTGTTAGGGCACGGGAGTATTTCCCCGTCCTGAATTCTAGCGCAAACCCATCTGTATTATATGGGTGCCTGTTCCGAGTCCCGTGTCCTGTTGGGCGTGTGTGGGGGGGGCGACCAGATAAGCAACGCCGACCCCGTCGTTTGGGGAT